CAAATCTCAAAATTAAATTCTGTCTTATACTGTCAGTAAAGTAATACACAAGTGTCTTCTAGGTGACATTGATTTAGATATGCGAAAGCTAGATGCAGAAATGTATGTTTGGAGGAGTACTTGTCTGAGAATCTAGCTGATTTTAATTTTTTTGTATTGGCGTTGTCCAAACGTAGCTTTGATATCTTGAACATGTTATTTACTATAATGTTTCTTATTTTCTCCACCTATAACATGAAGCATTTATAAAAATTCAGGACCCCCTTTTAGCACTTTCTATGACCTAAAACACCTAATAGGAAAATTGGTTAACCAAAATAAACAACTTATGCTATTAATTTAAATTATTTCCTGTAGTAATTCTGAAGTAATCAAACTACAACAATATCATTACTAGCATTTAATTATTCAGCACAAATGTTGCTCTTAGCCCTATTTCTATCACACATCAGGAATGCTTCCCTTCCATTCCATATTTTCTAACTTCCTTGGTTTGGAGTTTTCCTTCCAGTTCTTTCTGTAGGACTGGATTTGTGGATAGTATTGTGTAATTCTGGTTTTGTCATGGAATATCTTGTTTACTCCAGCTATAGTGACTGCAGCCTTTGCTGGATATAGTAGTCTGGATTGGCATCTGTTGTCTCTTGTGTCTGTAGAACATCTATCCAGGACCTCTAGCTTTCAGTTTTCTTTGAGAAGTCAGGTGTAATTCGGAAAGGTCTGCATATAAATGTTACTTGGCCTTTTTCCTGTACAGCTCTTAATATTCTTTCTTTAATCTGTATGTTTAGTGTTTTGATTATTATGTGGCAAGGGATCTTTTGTGGTCCAGACTATTTGGTATTCTGTAAGCTTCTTATACTTTCACAGGCATGTCCTTCTTTAGGTTGGGAAAGATTACTTCTATGATTTTGTTGAATATTGTTTCTGCACCTTAAGCTAGATTTCTTCCCCTTCTATACCTATTATCCTTAGGCTTGGTCTTTTCACACTGTCCCAAATTTCATGAATATTTTGCATTAAAGATTTGTTGGATTTAACATTTTCTTTGGTGGATGAATCTATTTCCTCTAGTTTATCTTCAACACCTGAGATTTTCTCTTCTATCTCTTGTATCCTGTTGGTTATGCTTTCATCTGTAGTTCCTGATTGTCTACCCAGATTTTGCATTTCCAGCATTCCCTCAATTTGTGTTTTCTTTGTTGTCTCTATTTTACTTTTCAAGTCTTGAACTGTTTGAATTGTTTCCTTCACCTGTTTTTTCTTGGCTTTCCTTGCTTTGTTTAAGAGATTTGTTGATTTCTTGCATTTTTTTGGTTTGTCTTTTCCTCCATTTCTTCAGTTTTTGTTTGTCTATTCCTACATTTCCTTAAGGAATTTTCTCATTTCCTCTTTAAAGGCTTCTGTCATCTTCATAAACTTATTATTTATTTCATATTCTTTTGCTTCACCTGTGTTAGGATGTTCAGGTCTTGCTGGTATAGAACCTCTCGTCTCTGGTGCTGTAATATCTTTATGTAGTTGAATGTGTTCTTATACTGTCATCAATCCACCTGTTCTTCTGGTGGGTGCAGGTTTGACCTCTCCTCTCCAGGTGGGGCGGAGTCAAGGCTCCAGTGGCTGTAGATGCAGTGCTGAATTGTTTGGGGCTGTGTGCAGGTATCTCCCATTACACATTTTCTAGACAACCTTAATTCTTACCATTAAACTATGACTTTTCAACATAATTCTGTGTGAACATCCCAAAAGGTCATACGCAACTACCCTGGTTTTATATGACACTTAGTGTTAGTATGTAGGAAAACTTTTATTACTGAAACAAAGAAATGAAAGACAGCAAAATAAGAAAATACTATGAATGTCAGTAAATGAATAATGGTAGAGATAAGGGTTATAATCACTTTGTATCCTATCTCTGGTGTAAGAGATAATAGGAAACAGTGAGATCACAGAAAATTTGTTTAAGTATTATAATAACATTGCAATCTCTTGTTTTTATTTTAATATTTCTTATTTCCCAGTTTCAATGCTGTAATTCTAGCTCAATAGGGATTAATAAGCTACATTATAAATTGTGTCTATATTCCTGAGAATTTCCATTTAAACAGGCATTTGTCCATTAGGAGGATTTGTACAGACTTCCTTAATAATCCCTATTATTCATTCTTTAATCAATCATTGATTACATTTTCTGTGTTTTTACTTAATATTCTGAAAATATTTTATTTACTCCATTTAAAAATGATATGTTGTATTTTGTGATTTAAATTCTAATAATATATTACAAGAATAATAGTAGTAATTGCTATCCACTGATGAATGCTTCTTGACAAAGCATCTTTAAAATGGTATATATTTGTAACACTGGATGGTCTGACTACAAATTTTATATTTCAGCTGAATGATTGTCTCCCAGGAGCATTTTAATCTAAGTGTTCCGGTCTGATGACTGTAGACAAGGATCTTAAATATTTAATTACTTCTGACAACAGTAGATAAGATAGTTAAATATTCATAGAGCTAGAGAAATACATATATGACACTTTACAGTGATTTCTAGGAATTGAGTTCATTGGAATTCATAACAATGTTTAGTACAGAGATGTATGTAAACAGACTTCTAAAGAAATTAGTGCTAAAATATCTTGTACATAACCTATTCCTTTATAATTCATCTCTGAATGGGATATACACCACAACCTGTAATAACTAATTTTCATTTCATTTTAAAAGGTACTTTATAGTACTGATAATTTAGACTTTCAGAGATCAGAATGGTATGGTTTCCAAATTGATCACTTAACACCTTGAACAAGTTATCTCATCACTTTTATTTATTACCTATAGCACAAAGATAATAATAGTGTCCACCCTATAGAGACTCTATGAGGAGTAAATGAGTCACCATGTACAATGCACTTGAATAGCAGCCACTCAATTCTGGTTATATATTATCCAATATCTATTCTACATCTTTCTCCATGTTGGGATATTGGCAGGCTTAATCTTATACAAGTCATGTGCTTGCAGTCTCAATTACTTGAGTTCATATATGCTGTTGTGCTCTCATGTCCGGAAAATACTGTTTGGATAACAGACATTCACTCCCTCTGGCTCTTACAATCTTTTTATACTCTCTTCTATGATGATTCATAAGCATGTGGGGGAGAGGGTGTGATATAGGTATCCCAAATAGGGATGAGCAGTCCACAGTCTCATCCTCTGTATATTGCCTACTTGTAGATCTCTGCTAATTTTCATCTACTGCTAAAGAAGCTTCCCTCAAGAAAGGTGAGAGATACACTAATATATGGGTATAAAAATAAGAACTCAGAAGAGAGTTTATTATTATGTCTATTTATCAAAATAATAGGACAAGGTTCTTTCCTAAGGGCTATGACCTTACCATAGATATTTGACCTGGGTAATGGTATCAGGCATAGACTCTACCATGTGGAGTGAGTTTTAAGATACAATCAGAAAATGGCTGTTAGTCCCATTACATTTGTACTACTATTACACCAGTGGGCATATCTCACCAGGGATATGTTGCTCATAGGGATCATAGCCTTTAAAACCATTGGTAACTTCTCTCATACAGTAGCATTCAGAGAACCTTCAAGAACTGTAAAAGATAGTTACTAGGTATAAAACTTCTGGGATAGTCTGAACTAGATTTCGCCAAGTCCCATGACTCAGGTGTGCGGTGTGTTCAGAAACAAGATCTTACTGACAAGTTCTGGAGGGTAAACAAGAACAATGCAATAGTACGTCATTTAGGCATGGACCATACTGACAAACAGTTTGAGAAGAGGTAATCCATACCTGGCACTGGACTTTATTTTTTGATAACCTATGCCCCTCCCTGTCATAAGGTAACCATTTAAACTCTTTATGTGTGTATGTATTTTAGGAAGCTTCCACAGTAACAGGTTTCTATGTAGCATTTTCAAAGGTCTTTAGTGTTGGTTATCTTTCCCCACACTCCTCCTCTACCCTGCTTTCCTATCCTCCACCCCAAACCCCTTACTGTTCCATTATTTCCCTTTCTCCCTTCATCCCACCTTGAGTTCCAATAAAAGACAGAATGATAATGGAGCAGAAAAATACTCAAGTTAGTAAGCACCAAAGAGCCTTTTTTATGATGTCTATTCTATACTTGTTTCTCTTTATATAACTATCATACAGTAACTATAGTTTACAAAACTGTCAGCATATATACTTATAAAATGCATGCAAAACTGTAACCATCAATAACCATTACTCTCAGAGTTGTAATTCCTATAACAATATAGTCCAGATGAGAAAACTCAATATATATTATAATACTTTTCTTTCTTCATACAGTCACTAAAATTATATATTATGTCAGCATGGTTATGTTCTAAATTTGACAAACTAATAGCTACTTGTTTCTGCTTGAAATCTGTTTCAGAGATTATGCTTTTAAGTGTATTTACTTAATTTTACTTTTAAAGTATAAGCTGTGTACATAATTTTTAAAACTATGTAAGGAAAATTTACTCAGCAAGCTTCAATTTCCTGTGTTTCATTATTATTCTTCTGCTGCAAGTGTCTATCCTAAGACTGTCTCTGATTTTCTTTCCTCCATTTCTTTTTTCAAAACAAACTTTTATATAAGAAAAGGATTATTTGAAATGCTTGCAAAATAAGTTGTGACATAACTGATTTTATATTTTATAAACTTTATTTAAATTCATGCCAGAGCATGTACCAAGTTCTTAATAGCTGTTTTGTGTCTAAAACTTGTATGATTTCTTCACTGGAAGAAAAGATATACAAGGCTACTACTTATCTTTTTGTTCAAACTTGGTTGAAATTTAAACAAGTTGTATACATAAACTCAAATAATCTAAGCATTTTGAAATCCAACCTTTATTTTCACTCAGACACCCTTAGGAATCTTGATGTGTCTACTAACTTTCTGAATTTTAATATCTGAACAGTTAACCCTTTGTTCTTCTCTTTGTTTTCTTCAGTTGCTTGGCAATTACAATAGTGCTTCACGAGGTGAAGGGAGATCTTTGGCAGTACCTATGAGAGAAATTACTAGAAGATCTGAGGTACCAGTTCGGAGATCAGCAGAGAGACCTGCTTGGAGACCTGAAAGAGGACGACCCGTCAGACTTGAAAGGGGTTATGCTGTAAAGCCTGCTAGAGATCATGCTATGATGCCTGCTCAAAGAGTGGCAATGATTCCTGCAAGGGGCCGTTCCATGAGCCCTGCAAGAAGATACTCTGAGAGGCGTGGTAGAGAACACGCTGAGAGTCGTGCAAGAAGATACAGTAATAGACAAGCAAGGTCAAGAACCGTGAGTCCTTTCAGGATGCATCCTGTGAGTTCTGCACAGCAAACTGCTCTGCAACAGGCACGAAGACGTCGCATGAGACACGAAGAAGAATTTCTTCTGGGAGCTGCAGTGGGACTTACTGTGAAATCAGCAGAAGGATATGATGAAGAAACTTTCAGATCTGCCAGACTATCTACCCAGTAAGTATTTTTTTTTCAGTTTAAATTTAGATTAGAAACAAGGTTGCTTCACAAGTCAGTTCCAGGTCCCTCTCTCTTTCCCTCCCCTCCTCCCGTGCCCTCCCCCAACCCCCCCCCATTATCCCCTCATTTCCCCAGGGAGGGTGAGGCCCTCCATGGGGGTGTCCATAGTCTGTCATTTCATACAGGGCAGGGCCTAGACCCTCCCCCAAGAGTTCAGGGTGAAAGTGCATTTCACATTGTTGGATGGGAGTCCAGTAAGTATTTTTATGTGATTTTTACAATAACATGCCCAGTATATATTATATCTCTAAACTAAGGTTGGATTTTTCATATAAACACATTTATGACTATAAGTATATATAAGGATTATTTTAAGAACATAAAGGAATTAGTAAAAGGAAGCAGTTCAAACTGTGTTGGCTACTTTCATCTTTCTTTTATTAGAGGACAGTGTATGAAGTAAAAAGGAACAATGTATTAGATATCCAGAAACTGACAAAACATTTTTAAAAAAAGAAAAATCCATCTTACAGAAGTATAGTCATTTTTTTATCTTAAGAAACAATAAGCAATAATATCATTTCATCATTACCTAATATTCAAAAGGCAACAGTCATCATATATAAAATGGTAATATAATAGATGCAAAAAGCTTAAACAATTATTTAAGTTACGATGTTAAGTTATCCTCTAGTTTATTATTTCTAGAACAATATTACAAAGCTTCAGAATTCACAAACATCGAGTGTCTGTAAGGATTTTATTTTTTCCTCCATATATATATATATATGTGTGTGTGTGTGTGTGTGTGTGTGTGTGTGTGTACATATATATATAGTAATATCCTATATATAGGGTACTAAATTGTATAAGTTAAATCAGCGTTTGTTGTATTACCTTTAAATCAATGTTTCATTCATAATTTTCTTGTATGAAAAGGACATTGACATCTATTTCTACATCCCAAGGCAAATTTCTAAACTATAATCTAGTTCTAAGACTCTGTTGAAAACATTTGTTTTTTCTCAGGCTTTCTGCATATTGACTGATTTAGTATGTACTTTATTAAACAGATACCGATTTAGAAAGAAAAATACTCTTTGAAATATCAGTTCTACCTACTGATGAACTGGAAAATATTTATGATTTAAAACCATTTGTTCCGTCATTAGTATTATAAATGGAAAGCCTTCCAGTTTTTTTATCATTTTTTTTATTTTAATTTTAAATAGCTTGTTTTACATGTCAATCCCAGTTCCCTCTCCCTCCCCTCTTCCCGCACTCCCCTTCCCCCCTCCCTCCCACCCTATTGCCAAATCCTTCCACATAGGGGATATCTAGAGTCTGTCATTTTACTCTTGGTAGGGTCAAGGCACTCCCCTAAGAGTCCAGGCTGAGAGAGCATCTCTCTTTGTGTTATAGGCACATGAAGACAGTTTGTATACCAGGGATAGACACTGATCCACAGCTCAGGGCCCCATAGGTTGCCCAGGCCTTCTCACTGACACTCACATTTGGGGGGGTCCAGATCAGTCCCATGCTGGCCTCCCCACTGTCGGTCTGGGGTCCAAGAGCACTCCCCTGTTCAGAGTAATTTTTGTTCATGTTACATTGACTTTAAAAATTATTTAAGGGTGCAAGGACAGAGGGAAGATACTAGGATGTAGGGAGATAAGTGGGATTGGGAAGCATGATGTGAAATCCACAAAGAATCAAACTTTTAAAAATTATTTAAGATTTTTTAAAATTATCTTTAGCAAAGTGATTTTTGTGTTTTTCACATCTTTACTTAAAATCTAATTATCACAAGTTTCCCTTTCTCTTTCCTTTCTCCAGCTCCTCCCAAGTTTCCTTCTTCATAATCCTTTCAGACATTCCGTGTTAATAGCCTCTTTTACCTGTATGTATGTATGTATATGCATATATACATATATGTACATATACAAACATATGTATATATACTTAAATATATGTATACATATATGTTTGTATATGCTTATACACATATATATGTTTGTACATATACATACAGGTGGGGAAGGCTATATATGTATATATGTGTGTATGTGTATGTGTGTATATGTGTGTGTATATTGTGCATACATATATGTATTTTTGTACTCTTTGTGTATATGGTTTGAGGGATGACTATTTTGGATTGGACAGGCAATTAAGGGGTTCATCCCTGGGAGAGGCAACCTCTCCATCTATCAGCAATAATCACTTGCCTGTAGTTTCTTGTCTGGGGATGTGATTTTGAGATTTTTTTCCCTTTCCTTGTCAACATGCCTGTTGATGCAATGTGAATATTTAACTGTTAGTGAAATTTCAAATGTAAAGCAGATGATTGGGGAACGTGCCAAAACAAGCTATTCAAAATAGTCAATCCATAATTATTGACTTACCCTTCAGAACTTCATAGACATTAATTAAAACCTCACAAACTTTGATATATTGGGTTAAATAGTAGGTATTCACTATGATAATTTTAAATAACTTGTCATCTTTAATTTTTATTATTTAATTAGAATGTAATTACATCATTTTCTCCCTGTCATTTCCTCCTTCCATTCCTTCTCAGGCACCCTCATTTACTCTCACTCAAATCAATGGCCTACATTTATATTTTAATTGCTGTTTTATGTACATAGATACATATTCATATAAATATATTCCCGTACAACACACACACACACACACACACACACACACACACACACACACATATCACTTGGTCAATCTGTATAATGCTACTTGGGCTGACCATTTGTTATTGAACAACCAGTTGGTGTGCTCTCCTAGGGAAAGTATTTCTCCTACTCTCAGCATTCCTAAGTTGCTCAAAGCCCCCATCAACTTTGGCATGTCTATTGTTGTTTCCCTTGTTCAACTCATGTTTAGGCAGAATTATGGTCAGGCTGTATGGGTGTAGCTTCTGACTTTTCTAGGAAACAGTCTCACAGCAAAATCTCTGATTCTCTGTGGCTCTTAGAATCTTTCCACTCCCTGTTGTACAATGTTCCTTGTACTTTATGTTCAGGACTGTTTTGTAGATCTATCCATTCTGACTGGACTTGACAACTCTGCATTCTTATTGGCTGTGGTTTTCTGCAATGGTTTCTGTTGCGAAGAGCCATTTCTTTGATATACCCGTGGGCATAAGGACAAATACTTGGAATGTAGTAAGAAATGGTGTTCTTTTAGTAAAGTGGTAGTTGTAGGTTTTCCTCTAAGATCCATGACTTCACCATCCACAGATAATTGATCAGCTTTCTAGTACCATGCATGATTTTGCTCCTTTGAAGCTGCCCTTGCATCTAAATCTGTCTTAAAGCAAAAGGTATATCTCATTGCACTGCCATTCTTATTCACAAGTCAGCTAAGGTGAGATGTATTCAGGTCTGCCCCACATTATTAGTTACATTGCAGGACCTAGGCAAATGAAATTATCCTTGCTTTAGGATATAAAATCCTCATGGCATGTGCTAGGATCTTAAGAAGCCAGATTACATTATATGTTTATAGCTTCTGCTCAGACTTCTACTCACTTTTAACTAACTGAAGAAAATTGCATGACCAAACCTAACAGACCAGAAAAGGATAGACTGGACTTACAAGGAAGGAGGAAAGGAATACTTGCTAAATCATAAATTCTGCCACACTGATCAACCCTACTTCAATACTATATACTTATTAGCTATAAATATAACTTGATTTTCTCATTTCTTTATGAGGTTTTCCTATGTTGTCTTGCTTAGGGTTTCTATTGCTGTGAAGAGACACCATGACCATGGCAACTCTTATAAAGAAAAAAATATTTATTTGGGATGCCTTACATTTTCTGAGATTTAGTCTATTATCATCATGGTGTGACATGTTAGCATGCAAGTCAATATGGTGCTGGAGCTGAGAGTCCTACATTTTGATAAGCAAGCAACAGGAAGTGATCTAACACACTTTCTCCAATAAGACCATATCTACTCCAACAAAGCTACATCTAATAGTACCACTCTCTTTAGGGACCATTTTCCTTCAAACCATCACATATGTCAGGCCTGATATAGAAAGCACTACAACAAATACTCTTTAGAAGCACATTATAATATAATTTTAGATGCAAGTGACAGTATTGATACTTTTTCAAATATTTAGAAATTCTTGTTAAATACAACTGTCTACTTGCAGATTGATGATTAAACATTTGGGAAATAATATCAAATATCTACAGCAATAATATGCAGTTCGGTGGCCATTTCTAATTTTGTGTATTTGCTCCATTTTTAATAAGTCCATTACTTAATTTTACTAATATATGATATATAAACTTTGATTCATTATAAGTTATCTTAGAGACAAGTTCAAATGCATATGTTCCTAGTAATTTCACTAGAGATACTCATACATATTACTTTATTGTTTATGTGATTTATATAAAATCAATTTTAATAAATAATTTTGCTAGAGAGCTATAATATATTCCAATATTATATGAATAATAACTTGTTTTAATTCTTATATCTGCATGTAAATATATATGTATATATGCATATAAATACATGTATAAATATATAATGGCTAATCAAACACTGGAATTTTCTGTAATTTTTTTTTCTAAATTTGTCATTAGAAATCAACCATCAATGTATTTTGAGTATTGTTTCCGAGGGTTGGTCTTGTAAATATTTCATAACAATTTCTATTGCCACTTGAACCTTTTGTGGGAAACAAAGTTTAGATGTTTCCAACTTTGAAACAGTGAGACTATTTGATTGTAAACTTAAATTTAATATTTCATTGCTTATTTATGGATTACTTTAATATAAGCTTAAAACTTGCCTTTTTCTTGCCTTTAGGTTTCCTTCTGATGATGATGATGAAAATGAAAGTGGATCCTCACTCTTAATGGTAAAATTCACACAAATATCTCTGCTGTTTAAGTAACATTTTTACTAACATTGAAATCCTATGTCAAGTCATATAATTCATTTTATCCTTTCTGTTTCACTGATACTATTTATATAGATGCATAAAATATGATTATATACATAAATTCAATAATTTTGGAAAGATATCCAAAAAATTATCATCAATGGGCAAGGGAGAAAGAAACACAGTTTCACTGCAGGTCTTTTGTTTGACCATTTTACATAATTTTAACTTTGTCCTTTTAATACCTTTATAATTTAAAAATAAGAATTTCTGATGAAAATGAATATTCAGAAACATGTGTATCATAGTCTCTGAAAATACAATAAATCAATTATATTTTCTCTTACATTCCTAAGGAGAAAATAAATGATAAAGATAAATCTTAGAGTCACAACGCATGGCTAGACAAAGATGTGGGTTTATTTTTAACTGAGCCATCTCTTGGGATATTTACTAGCACAAAGGTGACTATTGGATGCCCATTACCTTCATGAAATAATAAAATGACTGAAATGTTTTCAAACAAATTTAAAAAATGAAACAATTGCCTTGCACATAATGGACCAGTACTAATTTGTGTTTTTATTTAAATTAGAAACCAGTTTGCTTCACATGTCAATTCCAGCTCCTCTCCCTCCCCTCCTTCCTACCCCTCACCAACCCCCCACCCCCCAACCCAATCACCACATCATTCCCCAGGGAGGGTGAGCCCTCCTTGGGGGGGATCTCCAAAGTCTGCCATATCATGCAGGGCAGGGCCTAGGACCTCCCTCATGTGTCCAGGCTTACAGAGCATCCCTCCATGTGGAATGGGTTCCCAAAGTCCATTCATAAGCCAGGGATAAATACTGATCTACTACCAGAGGCCCCATAGATTGCCAAGGCCTCCTAACTGACACCCAAATTTAGGGGGTCTGGATCAGTCTGATGATGACCTTTCAATCATCAGTCTGGGGTCCATGATCTCCCTCTTGTTCAGGTCAGATGTTTCTGTGGGTTTCACCAGCCTGGTCTTGATCCCTTTGTTCATCACTCCTCCCTCTCTGCAACCTGGTCCAGGAGTTCAGTTCAGTGTTTAGCTGTGGTGTCTGCCTCTGCTTCCATCAGCCACTGGATGAAGGTTCTAGGATGGCATATCAGTTAGTCATCAATCTCATTATTGGGCAAGGGGAATTAAGGTAGCCTGTCCACTATTGCTTAGATTGCCACTTTGTATCATTCTTGTAGATCACTAGAAATCTCACTAGTGCCAGATATCTCCTCAAACCTATAATGACTCCCTCTATTATGGTTTCTCTCATGTATTCTTCCCCCAACTCAACCTTGCTTCCCCATGCCCTCCTGTCTCCTCCTCTTCTCCCCCTCTTTCTCCCAGTTCTCTCTCCCCTACCCGCATGCTCCCAATCAACTCAGGAGATCCTATACCATTCCTCTTCCAGGGTACCATGCATATTTTTCTTATGGTCCTCCCTATTTCTCAGACTCACTAGCAGTGGGATTGTAGGGTAGCACTCCCCTGATCCATGTCTAAATTTCATGTCAGAGTGAGTACATACTGTGTTTGTCTTTTTGTGTCTGGGTTACCTCACTCAGGATGGTTTCTTCTAGTACCATCAATTTGCCTGCAAATTTCAAGATTCCATTGTTTTTTTCAACTGAGTAGTAATCCATTGTGTAAATGTACCACATTTTCTCTAACCACTCTTCAGTTGAAAGGCATCTAGGTTGCTTCCAGGTTCTGGCTATTACAAATAATGCTGCTATGAACATAGTAGAACAGGTGTCCTTATTGTATGTCTGCCTAACTTTTGGGTATATACCTAAGAGTGGAATTGCTGGGTCTTGTGGTAGACTGATTTCCATTTTCCTGAGGCATTTCCATACTGATTTCTGAAGTGGCTGTACGAGTTGGCACTCCCACCAGCAGTAGAGGAGTGTACCCCTTTCTTCACATCCTCTCAAGCATAAATGGTCATTGGTGTTTTTTATTTTAGGCATGCTGACAGGAGTAAGATGATATCTCAGAGTTGCTTTAATTTTCATTTTTCCTGAGGATAAGGATGTTGAGCTCTTTCTTAAGTGTCTACCAGCCATTTTAGACTCCTGTATTGAGAATTCTCTATTTAGTTATGTACCCCACTTTTTAATTGGATCCTTTGGTGTTTTGGAGACTCGTTCATGAGTTCTTTGTAAATTCTGAAGATCATTCCTCTGTCAGATATAGAGTGAGTTAGTGAAGATCTTTTCCCATTTTGTAGGCAGGTGTTTTGTCTTGTTGACTGTGTCCTTTACCTTACAGAAGCTTCTCTGTTTCAAGAGGTCCCATTAATTGTTGATCTTAGTGCCTATGCTACTGGTTCCTATGTTCAGGAAGAAGTCTCCTGTACCAATTCATTCAAGGGTACCTCCAACTTTCTCTTCTGAGATGTTCACTGTGGCTGGGTCTATGTTGAGATCATTGATCCATTTGGACTTACGTTTTGTGCATGGCAATAGACAAGGATCTATCTGCAGTCTTCCACATGCCGCTATCTAGTTATGCCAGCACCATTTGTTGAAGATGGTTTCATTTTTCCATTGTATAATTTTAGCGTCTTTGTCTAAAATCAGGTGTTCGTAGGTGTGTGGATTAATATCAAGGTTTCCAATTTGTTTCCATAGGTCTACTTGTTTATTTTTGTGCCAATACCAAGCTGTTTTCAGGACTTTAACGCTATAATACAGAGTTGGGGATGGCAATGCCTCCGGAAGTTCCATTATTGTACAGGGTTGTTTTGGCTATTCTGGGTTTTTTGTTTTTCCATATAAAGTTGAGAATTGTTCTTTCAAGGTCTGTGAAAAATTTTGCCAGTAGTTTGATGGGGATTGCATTGAATCTGTAGATTTTTTTGGCAAGGTTGCCATTTTTACTGTGCTGATCCTACCTATTCAAGAACATGGGAGATCTTTCCATTTTCTGGTATCTTCTTTAATTTCTTTCATTAAAGACTCAAAGTTCTTGCTATACAGATCTTGTTTGGTTATTTATGATATTTTATGTTGTTTGTGGCTATTGTAAAGGGTGATGTTTGTCTGATTTCTTTCTCAGCCAATTTATTGTCTGTGTATAGTTGGGCTACTGATTCTTTTTTAGTTAATCTTGTATCCTGCCACATTGCTGAAGGTGTTTATCAGCTGTAGGAGTTCATGTGTATAGTTTTTCGGTTCACTTATGAAAACTATCGTATTACTTGCAAATGTTGAATATTTGAATTCTTCCTTTACAATTTGTATCCCCTTAATCTCCTTTTGTTTTCTTATTGCTCTAGCTAGAACTTCAAGTACAATATTGAAGAGATATGAAGAGAGTGGACAGCATTGTCTTGTTTCTGACTTTAGAGGAATCTCATTGAGGTTCTTTCCACAATATTGAAGAGATATGAGGAGAGTGGATAGCCTTGTCATGTTTCTGACTTTAGGGGAATCTCGTTGAGGTTCTTTCCATTTAGTTTGATGGTGGCTGATGGCTTACTGCATATTATTTTTATTTTGTTCAAGTATGCTCCTGTTATCCCTGATCTCTCCAGGACCTTTATCATGAAGGGGTGTTGGATTTTGTCAAAGACTTTTTCAGCATCTAGTGAGATGATCATGTGGTTTTTCCTTTGCAGTTTGTTTATGTGGTGGATTACATTGATGGATTATCGTATATTCAACCATCCTTGCATCCCTGGGATGAAGCTTACTTGATCATGGTGGATGATTTTTCTGATGTGTTCTTGGATTCGATTTGCCAGTATTTGATTATTTTTGCATCAATGTTCATCAGTGATATCGGTCTGAAGTTTTCTTTCTTAGTTGTATCTTTGTGGGTACCAAGGTAATTGTGGCCTCATAAAAAGAGTTTGGCAATGAACCTTCTGCTTCTATTTTGTGGAACATTGTGAGGAGTATTGACTTTAGTTCTTCTTAGAATTTCTGGTAGAATTCTGCACTGAAGCCATCTGGGCCTGTGTGGTTTTTTTTGTTGGGAGACTACTTCTATTTCATTAGGAGTTATAGGTCTGTTTAAATTGCTTATCTGTAATGATTTAATTTTGGTAAATGATATCCATCCAGAAAATTGTTAATTTCCTTTAAATTTTCGAATTTTTTTTGAGTACAGGTTTTCAAAGTATGACCTGAAGATTCTCTGGATTTCCTCAGTGTCCGTTGTTATGTCCCCCTTTTCATTCCTGATTTTGTTAATTTGCATGTTCTCTCTCTGCCTTTTGGTTAGTTTGGATAAAAATTTGTCTGTCTTGTTGATTTTCTTGAAGAACCAACTCTTCATGACATTGATTCTTTGTAGTGTTTTCTATGTTTTGACTTTATTGATTTCATCCCTCAGGTTGATAATTTCCTGGCATCTACTCCTCTGGGTTGAGTTTGCTTCATTTTTCTCTAAAGCTTTCAGTTATGCTGTTAAGTCTCTAGTGTGACTATTCTCCAGTTTCTTCATGTGTGCACTTAGTGCTATGAGCTTTCCTCTTAGTACTGCTTTCAAAGTGTCCCATAAGTTTGGGTATGTAATGTCTTCATTTTCCTTGAATTCTAGGAAGTTCTTGATTTCTTTCTTTATTTCTTCATTGACCCAGGAATGGTACAATTGTGCATTGTTCAATTTCCATGAGTTTGTAGAGTTTCTACAATTTGTGTTGATGTTGAATTCTAATTTTAAAACATGGTGGTCTGATTAGATACAGGGTCTTATTCCAATTTTTTGTACCTTTTGAGGTTTGCTATGTTGCCAAGTGTGCGGTCGCTTTTATAGAAGGTCTCATGTGGCACTAAGAAGAAAGTATATTCTTTTGTGTTTGTATGGAATGTTCTATAGATGTCTGTTAAACCCAATTGGGTCATAACTTCTGTTAATTCCTTTGTTTCTTTTTAAGTTTCTGTCTGGTGGTCCTGTCTAGTGGTGACAGTGGGGTGTTGAAGTATCCCACTATAACTCT